ACCCCTCCAGGCCTTGGCAGCACTTTCAGATACTCTGCGCGCCCGAGGTTCACTAAAGTTTCCGGGCATCCAAGAGTTGGGAACTAGGTGACGGATCAACTTGCCTCTTCTGGGATGGCCATTGGCTACACGTCAACTCCATCGTCGAGATTGCCCTCTGCTTCATGCCATGGTCCCGAGCGGGCGGCACATGCATCGCACCGTCTGCGATGGACTCCACAACCATTCTTGGATCGGCAACATCCACGGAACCCTTGGCCCCGAGGCCTTGGTCCAGTACGTCCTGCTTTGGGTTCAGCTTCGAGATCTCTCTCTCAGCGATGGACCGCGTCAGGCTCATACTCTGCTAGATCTTGCTATCATGTGCTATTCTCCAGTTCGACCATTGAGCCGGCCTGGCGGCTTACCTGGAAGACTTGGGCACCCCTAAGAGTCAAGATCTTCATATCGCTGGCTTACCAGGGCCGATGTTGGACCGCCGATAGGCTGGCACGCTGTGGCCCTCCTCACGTGCCTCTCTGCTTGATGTGTGACCAGGAGCCGGAGACCATGCAACATCTGCTCTCCGGCTGCCCTTTCTTGCGACAAGTTTGGCATGAGATCCTCTCATGGTGCCATGCCACAACCAGCGTTCACACCTCAGACTGCGAGTTTCGCATGTGGTTTGACGCATCCATCCATGACTCTACGGCTGCCACTTGTCATGGGCTTGCCACCGTCGTCATCCTCACTGCCTGGAGACTTTGGAAGCACCGCAACGACCGCGTATTCAACGGCGGCACCCCCTCTGTCACCAGACTCACCGATTACATCAAGGAAGACGCCCGCGATTGGGTGCACGACGGGGCCAAGGGGCTTGACCAACTGATCAGCGAGATGTAGGTTCTTAGTTTCTGGGTCATGCATACCCTCGCATTGCACTCGTGTAATTCTCACTCACATCCTCGCCCGCGCATGTGCTTGCAAGATTACCCCTGTAACAGTCACATTCTACTCCTTCTACCAATACAATGATATGCAAGTCTTTTGTGTATTCGCGACTTGTATGAGATGGCTGCTGCTTGCCAGAAGATTCAGCACTTTTGCTGAAGCAAAAATGTCCTTGAGTTTCAATTCATAAAGCAAACAATTTGCTGCATGCTTTGCAGGATGGTTTCAGAATTCAGATTGAATGGAATTATTTGCATTCTTAGTGCTATTTTAAAGCAGCTTTCCAGATTGTTATCATGACAAGACGTTGAAGTACTGTTGTTAGTATGCACCGGAGGCCAAAATGTTTAGCCACTATACAAATTATCTGATGTTTCCTGTAAGAACAGATATCATGTTTCTAATAATGGAAAACGGAAGATAGGTGTGAAGGAATTATCACAGGAATGGTCAGATGTTTGGCAACTAATATCCCATGTTCTTTGTAAGAACAGATATTGGAAGCCGTTGCAAAGGAATGATCAAATGTAATACAAAGGAAAGGAGAAAATAATGTATGGAGCAATGCAAATGTCAAAGGATGGTCAAATTAAGTTTGACTGTGAAAATAACACTTCTATAGAATAAAACAGTGCAGCAGATGGATAATTGCAAACACAGAAGGTTTCCTTAGTTCTATCTTTGCAGTTTTTATTATACAAAAAAATACAGTTATTGGATTAGAAGGAAAATCTTGTATTTATCTATGCTAACCGCTCCTACGAAATTAGCAGCATTTAGAAGGTCAAACAATACATTCTTGATAACTTATGGTGAATTTGAGTACAGTATCAAGCTTTGCTTACCTGAACAAACTCAACAAAGGCAATGCACGTGGCATGCACGTAATCACCAAGGAGCCTCAGTCGAGCAACCTAATTGGAAAGGAAAGGTACCAATGTCTTGAGGAAATGACTCATCTTAGTCATATAAAAACATGTGTTGAGGTATGGTTGAGGAAGATAAAAGCTTTTGAACATACCTCCCCACAAATTCCCTCAAAGAAATTCTTCACAACATCTTCTGGAACCTACATGTTCATGAAAGGATAACTAAGAAAGCAGAAAGATGCAATACAATCACCATATCTAACTCCGTGAGAAATCACCAAAGAACAACACAAGGATGTCTGGATTTATCGTTTCAAATTGTCCTTTGGCTTACTTATTTTAACTTTATTCTAGATCATAATTGAAATGGATACTGCTACAAAATAAGAAATGAAGTAATACATCTCTAAATATTAACTTGGGAGTATTGGCACATTACACTTACAAAAAGATACCTACATTATTATAAAAGGTGATGTCAAAACAAAAGAAATCTGGTAGAACATAAACTAAGATATCCATTCCAATTAAGATCTAATATCGACCCCCTATTTTAGGACATATGACTGAAATTTATATGCAAGTCTGAAAGAATAATCTGCTTTAGTAACAAGTCTCACTTTGCCTAGCTAGTTTTCAACTCGTATGATGTAATGTATCATGTGGTATTGAAGGGATTGCTTTAAAATTAGCAATAGCTAGCGGGAACTCATAACCCATCATAATTGGTCGTCTTTGTGTACATTTGTTCAAGGAAAGGGGTTTCAGTTCAAGCTAATTCCATGTACCTAATACCATACCAGGTTACTAAGTTACAATTACAAAATACCAACATAACAAGCTAGTCCTAACTGTTCACCAAAAAAAAAAAGAATACAACTCGCATTTTTGCAGGCTTTCGTGATAGATATGATTATAATTTACTTGTTCAGTTATAAGCGTAATAGAAATGAAAGACAGGGCATACATTTTTGTCAATGTTAGTACAGTACACAGTCCTGGATACCATTTCTTTCTCATCCTCCGTCTGCACAAAAAGGAGAGCAGATTCAGGCTAATATTATTATAGAGCTCGGAAATCACCTAATAGTAGGATCTAAATTTGCAGAAAACTATGTGACTAAATATGTTTACTTACTCGAGGAAGAAATTTGGGGTTCACAGGCAAAATTGCAGTCTTAGATGGCAGAACTCTGACAGGATAAAAACCAAGAATAGTTCCACCAAGCGTTAGAGCTGCTCTCGCACCGACTGCAGAAAAAGCAGAAATTCATCCAGGATTGCTTCTTACAACATAAGATATGAAATAGCAATTTATATGTTGAAGATAATACCATCATCGGCGAACTCGATAAAAGCAAAACGCATCACTGAGTTTGGATCACCACAGATACGGCAATCTACCACCTAGAAGTGCAAATGATGGTTATAAGATTACTAAGTCTCAACAATGACGTAAACAAGCAGGTATCCAATATTGCCTATATATAGCAACTACTTAAAGCAGGGGCAGATCCTGGAATTTCAGGATGGGGGTGTATTCATGCCACAGTTATTTACGCCACATCGCTTTAAACTCGGTGTATAGGGATATAACACCTGTTTATAGGGATATAACGCCTGTTTTGTGGAAGATACTAATTCCCATCAATTGATGATTATGACAATTAGGATAGGACGTTCCAGATTGACTGAAACCAAATATCTGATACATCAGTAACACTTAAGCAGGTTATGTCTTTACGGGAGCTTAAAAAGACAGAAGACGCAGGAGATCCTGGTAACAGCGGACGTGGACTCAGATAATTTAAGTACCAAAAGCTGGTGCAAGCACCTGACCAAAGGGATGTGCATCAAAAATTGGTGCAACATAAGAAGATCTCTCTGTCAATACTCCAAAGGATGCTGCCACTAAATATTAGAAACATGGTAGCACTAAATATTTCAGTGAGGATTGTTTGGTTTTGATCAATTTAGTTGGATTTCTGAGATGAATGAACAAATGGTACCCCGCCTTTATTGGCAGCAGGTACAAGTGTGGCAGAAATATGCTGGTTTGTAACTGATAACTTATAACTAACTCTCAGGGATAACTAAACCATACTAATAGATAAGAGTAAGAACAAAGGTTAGGCCATATTCCTATTGGGTTGGGACAAGTTATCTCTTATGCCAAGGATCAAAGAGGATTGGCGGAATAACTAAATAATTAATTAGAAAATAACGGAATTATACATATGTTAAACGAGTCAAAACTCGGGAGTGGCACCCAGGTGATTTACCGTCACAATTATTTGATGTCATATTTTTACAACTGTAGTCATAGTACAAACCCATACTTGCTGTGTGCAACAAATTACAGACAAAAATGCTTTCCAACATGCTGGATTCAAGATATCAAACATATATGAACTCATCTTAGATACTTGTCAAGATGATGCATTCGACTTACAGCAGTTCTGTCATGCAATATTTTAAGCCATTAACAGATGGCTTGTTTTATTTGAAGACATAAAAAAGGATATTCGGACAAACAAGCATCATATGCTATCACAACAAATATTTTTAATAGTAAGGAGTCTAAGAGCATACTTGACCACAGTTTGAGAAAACCTCAGCAAGCTTCTGTTCAGTGACCTGCAAATCGATGGGGGTCAGCCAATTAAGAAGAAAAACTGAAAAGAAGAAAGTAATGCAACAGCTCAATTCTCTTTGATATTCTCACATGTTGATCAATGTCTGAGACATAGACAGTTCGCCGTACACTATCCTCCCTATCACTTCGCCTTGGCCGGACTCCCATCCTACGTCTCCCCTGGTTGAAGCCACTCCTTCTCTGTAACCACAAGACCAATGCAGCTGATCAATATAACCGAGAAACAAGAGCTTCCCCTGCCTAAAACCCAAATATGGTGAAATATAGAATTAGCATTGACAAACAAATTCATGTGAAAAAACTAACAACAACTGAAAAGCAAGCAAATATGAAGCCAACCACACGAATCCAGTAAAACGGACAAGAGGTGAGAAGAAATCTATCGATCTACGAGAAGAATCCGTTCACCAAAGTAACACCCAAAATTGATGGTGCTAATATCAAAACCCAACGACACCTAAAACCCTAGAAAAGAGATCAACCTCCGAGCCGATCGCGTGAGAGAGAGATCAAGAAACCCAAGCCCATCAACATCACCATAAACCTCAAATCTGGTCGACCGATCTGGCCGGCCACAAGGCGTGGCCACTCCAATCTGAGCGTCACGGGAAACAGATCAAAAAATCGGCAATTCGGCGAGCGCTTACCCGTCGATTGGGCTGGCCATTGGCGGATCCGTCGCTGCTGGAGTCTCTGCCCGCGCCGCCGACCACCTGCAGCACGTGCATCTGCTGATGCTGGAACGGGTGGTGGGGCGCGTAGTAGTCGATCGCGGGCGAGACGAAGACGGGCGCGTCGGCCGACAGGCGGCGGGCGCCGCCGCCCCCCTGCTGGCGGCGGGAGAGCGGCACGAACTCCTCCGCGGACGGGTTCAGCTTCTTGAACAGCTCCTCCAGCTTCCTCACGTCGCTCTTGTACTCCCTGACGACCTCGTCCTCCCTGGCCGCCGCCGCCGCCGCATCGGCCCTCTCCGGCGGCACGGCGTCGGCGCGGATCGGGCCCTCGGCCGTCGCGACAACCATTTCCGCCCGGCCACGAGTCTCACCGCCGATCGCGCCCCGTGAACTGGCGAGGAAATCGAATCGTGGAGGACGGAGTCCGGCGTGGGGAGGGTTTTTATTATTCGGGAGAGTTTTTTTGCAGTTTGACCGAACGACTCTCCTCTCCAGCCGTTCGATCGTGATCCGGAGCTGATCGCAGCGCCCCTCCTCCAAGTTTTATCAGCGCTGACCGGATCCCCTCATCGCTTTCCCCACCGTGACTCTCGCACCGCAGGTCGTGACCCCGACGGCCGCTTCCACCGGCCCTGCACTGCCGACTGCCTTGAGCAAAAGTGGAAAGAAACATTTGCCTCAGCGAAATTAGCTCACTGTTTTCTCAGTAATGGCACTGGAGCTCTGACTCACAGCCTGATGAAATCACAACGTGCATGGACGCGTGGTTCGTCCCCTGCGACACTTGCTACGATAGCTGCAAGATTTTCGTCGAGGGCGAGGAGGACAACGACGGCGATGCCCCGACTGCAACGACAATGGCCTCATCGGATGCCCTGTCTGCTGCTGCTGCTGCTCATGCTCTGTTTTTTTGTTACAAGTCTATCATAGGCTAAAGTTCTCCTACTGTTTTTGATCACTTCTACTTTGTACAGTGTGAAGAGAATTTACAGAAGAATTCTATCCGGCAAGAGGTTTTGCTTAGGCTCCTAATAATTTCCTCCCTGCTTAGTAAGTTCTGTCGTAGATCAAATTTTGTTGGTCAAAGTGAATAGAGCCATATGAATTTAGTACTCAGCCTGTGTTCATGCTGTAGAACTATGGGAACAGACTGAATACAGTCATATAAATTTAGGTTCAGAATTTCACATGAAGCTGCCTAATAAGTTCAGACGTGGGCAGAACAGACTGATCTACAACGTGAAATGTCTGCTTCAGTTCGACGTGGGCAGAACGTTCAGAAAACTTAGTAGAGGGTTTGCTTGGGCTCCTTTTTTTTTTCTCTCCCTAATAAGTTCTGTTGTGGATCATGTGGTCCATTTTTGTTGGTGGAGAGTGAATATAGCCATCTAAACTTTATCCAGCAAGAGATTTTGCTCCTATTTTTTCCTTTCTCTACCTAATAACTTCTGATGTAGATCGATGAGGTCAATTTTTGTTGGTGGAGAGTGAATATAGCCATCTAAATTTAGTACTCACTACTACTCAGCCATGCATTTCTCCTTGAGGTGCCACGCATATTAACCCATGCAAAAAGTTTGAACATATGTTGCCCATATTAACCATGTCCATATCCAGTTGTATTTGTTGAAAAAGTACCTTCGGAAACTTCTATGTAAATAAGACGATAATATCTGCACCGCATACCTGATAATTTAGGTGCTAATGCCGCGGTATTTTTGGACCCGAGATAAAAGTTGTTGAAAACATACGCACGGTAAATTCTTTGTAAGCAGTATGGTAATATATGCACCACATACCTGATAACATAGGTATAAACACCGTGGTAACTTTGATCGTGGGAAAGAAATTGTTGAAAAGATACCTTGGTAAATTCTGTGTAAATAGCATGATAATATACGCACCATAGACGTGATAATTTAGGTACAAATACCATGGTAACTTTGATCATGAGGAAGAAAATTGTTGAAACCATACACATGGTAAATTAAGTGTAAATATCATGATAATGTATGCACCGTTGACCTGATAACTTAGGTGAAAACACCATGGTAAGTTGAGCTTGAGCAAAAAAATTATTGAAATATATGCTTGTAACTTTTGTGAAAATAGTACCGAAATATACGAACCGTATACCCAATAACTTACATACAAACATCATGGTAACTTTGACCAAAGAGGAGAAAAGTTGTTGAAAAAATAACCCAGTAACTTACGTGAAAATAAAACAATAATTTACGAACCGCATAACCAATAACTTACGTACAAACACCACGATAACTTTGACCACGGAGAAATAGTTGTTGAAATACATACCCGGAAATTTATATGAAAATAGCATAGTAATGCACGAATCACATATCAGATAACTTATGTAGAAAAAACAGCACGGTAACTTTGACCGGGGAGGGAAAAGTTGTTGAAAAACATAACCCTAATAACTTATATGAAAAATAGCACGGTAATACAGAAACCGCATACCTGATAACATACGTACAAACAACGGTAGCTTTCACCAAGGAGGTGAAAAAAGTTGTTGAAAATATACCACGATAAATTATGTGAAAGTAACACGGTAATATACGAACCAACCGCATACCTGATAACTTACATAAAACATAATGGTAACTTTGACCAAGGAGGAAAAAATTGTTGAAAATATACCCCATGCACGGTAACTTATGTGAAAATAGCACGGTAATATACAAACCACATATCTGATAATTTACATACAAACACCATATTTTTATCGAAAAGGAGGTTAAACCCCCAGCCTCTGCATCAATTGATACATACAGTCATCTTTATTAATTATTCAACAAAGGTCTGAAAGAACATACATCAAGAAACCTGAAGCCACCATTCATACCGACAATCTCAATAATGTGGAGTGTTCTCACTCTGCATATCTAAAATCGGTGTCGTCGCCGATCCATCCACATAACGTATCGGAACCTACAACCGATGCAGCAAATCTAAAGCATACACCGCATGCACACGTTTTATAAGCCGCCATCATCAATGAATCACCGACCCATCTTCAGAAAAGAGATCCCCGTCATCCATGCCAATTCGGCCATCAGTCGAAGCCACCATGGCGTCCAACGGCATCACCTCCCTGCACACAAACTTCTGAGCACGTTACGTCACCGTCGATACACTGGAGCACCATGCCGCCAAGTACCACTAACCTACGCGGCTTGAAGTCTCTGGAAGATCAGTCCTGCGTAGCTCATGCTGAACAGGCATGACACAACGTAGCTGTTGGGGAACGTAGCATGCAATTTCAAAAAAATTCCTACGATCACGCAAGATCTATCTAGGAGATGCGTAGCAACTAGAGAGTGTGTCCATGTACCCTCGTAGACCAAAAGTGAAAGCGTTAGTTTAACGCGGTTGATGTAGTCGAACGTATTCGTGGTTCAACCGATCAAGTACCGAACGTACGACACCTCTGAGTTCATCACACGTTCAGCTCGATGACGTCCCTCGAACTCCAGATCCAGCAAAGTGTCGAGGGAGAGTTTCGTCAGCATGTCGGCGTGGTGACGGTGATGGTGATGTGATCCGCACAGGGCTTCGCCTAAGCACTACGACGCTATGACCAGAGGAGTAAACTGTGGAGGGGGCACCGCACACGGCTTAGAAAACAACTGATGTGCTTTGGGGTGCCCCCTGCTACGTCTTGAGCTTGCGTTGGTTTTCATCGAAGAGGAGAGGGTGATGCAGCAAAGTGTAGCGTAAGTATTCCCCTCAGTTTTGAGAACCAAGGTATCAATCCAGTAGGAGCATCCTCAAAAGTCCCACGCACACAAACAAACTGAGAACTCGCAACCAACGCAATAAAGGGGTTGTCAATCCCTTCACAGCCACTTGCGAAAGTGAGATCTAATAAAGATAGTATGATAAGATAAATATATTTTTGGTATTTTATGATATAGATGCAAATAAAAGTAGATTAAAAGCAAATATGATAAGAGATAGACACGGGTGTAATAGGTTTCACTAGAGGCTTCTCTCGAGATAGCATAAGTATTACGGTGGGTGAACAAATTACTGTCGAGCAATTGATAGAAAAACGCATAGTTATGAGATTATCTAGGCATGATCATGTATATAGGCATCACGTCCATAACAAGTAGACCGACTCCTGCTTGCATCTACTACTATTACTCCACACATCGACCGACTCCTGCCTGCATCTAGAGTATTAAGTTCATAAGAACAGAGTAACACATTAAGCAAGATGACATGATGTAGAGGGATAAAAACATGCAATATGATATAAACCCCATCTTGTTATCCTCGATGGCAACAATACAATACGTGCCTTGCAACCCTTTCTGTCACTGGGTAAGGACACCGCAAGATTGAACCCAAAGCTAAGCACTTCTCCCATGGCAAGAAAGACCAATCTAGTAGGCCCAACCAAACTGATAATTCGAAGAGACTTGCAAATATAACTCAATCATACATAAAAGAATTCAGAGAAGATTCAAATATTATTCATAGATAAACTTGATCATAATCCCACAATTCATTGGATCTCGACAAACACACCGCAAAAAGAGTTTACATCGAATAGATCTCCACAAGAGAGGGGGAGAACATTGTATTGAGATCCAAAAAGAGAGAAGAAGCCATCTAGCTAATAACTATGGACCCATAGGTCTGTGGTAAACTACTCACAACTCATCGGAGGGGCAAGGATGTTGATGTAGAAGCCCTCCATGGTCGATTCCCCTCCGGCAGAGTGCCGGCGAAGGCTCCAAGATGAGATCTCACGGATACACAAGGTTACGGCGGTGGGTATTGTGTTTCGTGGTGCTCCTGGATGTTTTCGGGGTACATAGGTATATATAGGAGGAAGAAGTACGTCGGTGGCCGCCCGAGGGGCCCACAAGACAGGGGGGCGCGCCCTACAGGGGGGCCCTATCTCGTGGGGCCCTCAGAAGCTTCTTGACTTGCACTCCAAGCTCTCCGGATCATGTTCATTCCAGAAATCACGCTCCCGCAGGTTTCATTCCTCCGTTTGATATTCCTTTTCTTCGAAATACTGAAATATGCAAAAAAAAACAGCAATATGGGCTGGGCCTCCAGTTAGTAGGTTAGTCCCAAAAATGATATAAATGTGTAAAATAAAGCCCATAAACATCCAAAAGGGGTAATATAATAGCATGGAACAATCAAAAGTTATAGATACGTTGGAGACGTATCAAGCATCCCCAAGCTTAATTCCTGCTCGTCCTCGAGTAGGTAAATGATAAAAAGAGAATTTTTGATGTGGAATGCTACCTAGCATAATTCATAATGTAATTTTCTTTATTATGGCATGAATGTTCAGATCC